GTAGATCGACTAAAATCGAACAACTAGCCTGTCGGCATCACTAAAAGTGGTAAGCTCAAGAGGGGTTCCTTGAGGGAAAAATAGACCACGATGAGGGGTCCCAATAAGGTAGCAAATAGCTACCAAATCAAGATGATAAGGGGCATTCATAAACTTACTGATAGTATGCACTGCGAAGAAAACATTTGGACGTGTGATAGTGAGGTAGATAAGACTACCTACCAACATCCAATAAAGAGCGGGGTCGGGAAGAATATCACCTTCATCTTTTCTATATTTAACATTAAAATCCAATGGAATATCAACAGAGGATGCTTCAGAATACTTACCCAACCGAATCAAGTCCTGAATATATATGTTTGTTGATTCAAGAAGATACTATGTTGTGTAGTATGAATCTCTAAACTAAGGAAGTAAGTAAAATAAGCAAGATCTTTCATATGAAAAACCAAGTGAAGATGATGCTGAAGCCTCTAAATAAAGGTGTGATCAAATCCAAGAGATAACAATATCATACACATATACCAACAAAAAAATGTCAGCTATACTGTTGTGAAGAAATGGAAATGCGCCATACTAAGTAAAGGAGAAGTCCAAAAGAGTGCGGCGAAACTTGTCAAACAAGCTCGAGGGGCTTGTTCAAGACCATTCAAAGAAAATTTTAGCTTACATACAGAGTTAGCTAAGGGAAGAGGCATACCAGATGAAAGATTCATACAAATATCTTCCTCGAGGTCTCCATCTAAGAACACATTCTTTACATCCATTTGATGTAGAGACCAAGACTCGGAAGCAACAATTGATAACAAGAGGCAAACGGTGGTCATCTAAATCACTGGAGCAACTGTCTCATCATAATTAATTCCATACTTTGATGATTATTCAAGGCAACCAACCTAGCTTTATAGTGCTCAAGAGAATCACCAAAATGAAGTTTGATTAAATATACTCATTTACTTTCAATGGATTTCACGGTCAAAGGACATGTCACACCATCGTAGGTTTGGTTAGCCTCAAAAGTCTCAAATTCTGTATTCATTACATGTTGCCAATATTCTTGTTCCATACCCTGCCTATAGGAGGAAGTGATGGAAACCGAGTTAAGGGTAGCACACATAAAGCTATGGGACGAAAAACCTTGTTTATTGGGAGGTCGATGAACATGAAAAGTGTGACAAAAAGTGACAAGGGTAGAAAATCGTTTCTGAAGGATCCAATGTCGTAGGTGGAGGATCAAATAGGCTCGAAGAGGTAGTTGTGTGAGAGAGGGGCTCTGGTACAATATACATATGAATGTAAACTAGACTCGGCTTGTATCAAGAAAATCTTATAGAAAAATTCAACAAGACAGAGAACACAAGAGGGGAAACAACAATTTCTAAAGTGAAGAAAAATTGTTTTTCAAATTAAACAACATTACGAGATGTCCTAATGCAATATATCTTAGGATCATAACATACATACCTTTTTGAGTTTTACCATATCCCAAAAAAGAACACTTGACAGATTGAGGTGTGAGTTTTGTCCTTCCATTTGGTGGTAAATGAACAAAACAAACACGGCCAATGGGTCAAAGATGAGAATATATGGGATGATGATCGAAGAGCTTATGAGAAGGATAAATATTATCAAGAGTGGGAGAAGTTAACCAATTTATGAGGTGAATAACTTAGACAAGGCTTCATACTGAAAATGAGAGGAAATAGAGATTTAACAAGAAGAGCTCTAACCATATCAAGGACATGATGATTCATGCGTTCTCCCACCTCATTTTGTTGAGAGTAGAAAGACAAGATCGCTGAGAAATAATACATTTGGCGAGTAAGAAGATTGAAATGTATTAGACATACATTTGCTTCCCGAATCAAATGGTAAGATCTTGATTGAGGAGGAAAATTGGTTGTCAATGAGAGTAAGGAATGCCCAAAAGACAAAGAAAACCTCACTCTTTGTACGAAGAAATTAAACCCATGTAAAGCGACTATAGTCATCAATAAAAGTAACAAAGTATTTATAATGGACAGGAGATACCACGGGTGCAAGACCCCATACATCACTATGAGCAATATCGAGCATATGTAAAGCATGAGAACCATGAGAAGGGAACGGTGAAACCTTACTCTTAGTAAGTTTATATGAAGCAAAATCAAGAGAAATAGATGAAACCAAAGAAGAATTTTTATTTCCAAGGAAATCAGAGTTTAATAAATGTTGTAACACAATAGAATTGGGATATCTCAGTTTCTTATGGCAATAAAAAATATTAAGAGTAGTAGAATTACAAACAAAAGGAAAGGACAAAACAGGCTTTGGTAAAATAGGAAAAATACGTCTATCTTTAGGCCCCATCACGATCGTCTTTACGGACACTTGATCCTGCACAAGATAACCAGAAGAAGAAAAAGAAAGGGCGTGATTGTCATTAACAAGTTGCCGAATAGATATAAGATTATTCGATAAATTAGGAGAGTCTAAAACAATAAAAAATAGGCAAATTAGGTGATATATCACTACGGCTGAAATAAGAAGAGTGTTATAATCGAAAGTGTTTATATGGAGGGATCCAGTGTATGATCTAAGGTTACTAAGCAGCAGAGGATCATAAGTTATATGGTTAGAAACACCTAAATCTAATAATCAAGAAGAATGAACATTTGATAGATTACCTAAGACATCTAAGGCAGACAAAGCAGAAATAACCATTTGTTAGATCATCTCAAGAGTGAAGGAGTTTTGGGAAAGTCGGAAAGACTTGGAGAGGCTGCGATTTGAGTAGGAGTAGCTGACGTAACTGGAGGCTAAAGTGGCAGCAACAACATAATTTGCTCCAGTCTTGCATGAAGGACAAATAGGATGCTCTTTAGTGACATGTACAACCCTTCTGTAGTAATTGCGTACTTCTTTTTATACACTAAAGAGTCATGTGACGAAACCTCTTACAGCTGTAACACTACACACTAGACATATCTCGAGGTTTGAATTTTCCTTTGAGCAACATATACAATAGGAATTGGTGCTACTTGATTCCATTGTTGCTCTAAAGAGGCACGAGTGATAAGTTGTTGCACCTCTCTCAGTAATTTACACAAACAGTCATCCAACGTTGAAAGAGATTTGCGATTCATAAGACTAGATCGAATGGATTCAAATTCAGCTCGGAATTTCATGAAATATTAATCCCTTAGTGACTTCATGTACAGCTTGTACTGCCTTCAAATTGTTGGTGAAATCGAAACATAGATGATTTCTGTGTACTTAGTCCAAGATTAGAAAAAGCAGAATAAAATTCTTCAATGGAGCGAGAGTCGTGAGAAAAATGTGCCAATTGAAACTTTAATTGAAGTCGCCAAGTAATGTTGCTTTGAGTGTAGACTTTCTTCAAGAATTCTCACATAGCACGAGCTTACTTGAAAGCGCTTAAAATTGAAAACAATTTAAGCATCAACAAATCCAATGATCCAAGCCATAATTCAGGAATCTTTGGTTTTCCAAGCAAGATATTTTTCCTTGTATAAGGAGACGGAGGACTTCTATCAATATGTTCTCCCAGATCCCTTTTCCTTTTAGCCAACAACTGAAAGTAAAATGTACATGAAGAGTAGTTTTTTTCCACTAAAGTGAAAGCAAATGGAATCAGTCTTCTTAGTTGACATCATTAATAAAATTCTTCACTCAAGCCCAAATAAATTGTGGTACTAGAAACCCAAGCCCAATCAAATTCACCCAAATAAATTCAACCTTTTTACTACATTAACAAAGCAACCCAACAAATTCAAGCCCAAATAAATTTACCTTTGCAGCAACGCACAACCGTTTATCTTTCATTTATAGTAGTATATAGGAATATATAAGGAAACGTTACAATTGGGAATCAATCCTTGATTTAATGCGACTATGCAAGGAAAGCGGTAAATCACAGTAAATCTCATGCCTTTAATATTTTATAGACCCGAAATACCAATAACAATTATTTAAGAGTATGGCTCATGGATAATACATATGTTCCAATATGGCTTGACAACAGAGACAAACCTACTATTGATAATTCTGATGTTCTCACAAAAAAACAGCACCAGGAAACTTGTGCTTTTAACTATAATGTCAAGGTAATTTGAGAGAGTCACAAGGTAAAGAAACACTGGACTGCATTAGAGTGTAATGGAGCAAAACTAATTTATTGGTCCAGGCATTCATGACATTTTGGCTGCCAGACTGTAAATTGTTGACTGTGAAGAGCTAAATATCATGAGTGCCAAGGTATATTGGTATAACATTTGTCCCTTATCGAATGCTTCACATCAATTTAATTGTGCCTAGTCTGTACTCTGTATAATAAAAAGGAAATCTGAAGCTTTATTTCATGTTATGACTTCTGCGCAATGAGTTCAGAAACTTCATATTTTAATTCTTGTCGTGCTCCTGGAGGACCGTAAACTCTTAAGTAGTTCATATTATGAAACACGAAACTAAGATCCCATGTGTGATTTATCCGTAAGTATTCATAATTATAATGATATTGATGTATTTTGAGCAATTTGAAGTTTGCAGTGGAAAACAAAAGCTCAATGGGTCTATCTAATCGAGAGTGAAATTTTAACACTGAAAGTTTATATTACCGCTTGTTTTTAGGTGATTATTCTTTAGTGTTGTGAGTAATATTTTGTGAATGTGTTTTACGAAAAATTTGCGGATATACTGTGGATGGAAATCAGGGAAGTGCGGTCAACCATATCCTGACAATATTTGGTCAACAATTCTAAATCAACAACCAATTAGCAAACACACTAAACTTTTCCGGGAATTTAAACTTACACAATAAAACTTTTTATTATTTTTAACCATGTCTCATTGCTTAATCTACAACCATCTCCGCTTATAAAATTACAAGAAATTTTAGTTCGTGGAGATGCATAACTATCTTCCAATACGAACTTGATTGTTCATTGTACAGTCCACTATTATTCAATACTATATAGCAAACTGCACGCCATGTTCACATATCAGCTGATGGAAGACGACGAGTATCTGCAGACACGAGCTTCCTTGTAAACGAGACCTTGTTGACAAAAATACCCCTTACCAGGACTACAATGCCTGTCTTCTGAACAAATACATAGTCCTTCTAGGGCACAACCATCTCCCTTAACACCTTCTTTCCCAAAGAATATTTCATCAGACCATTCACTCGAAAACATATTTTTTGGGTCCAATTCCTTCTTTATTGCAAGAAACTTGTTAAAATTTGGATACTTTTTCTGCACATTAAGAAAAGCCAAATTCCTATTCTTAGCCCAATGTGGCTTAGCCCCATGTTTGAAGAATGCCATTTGCTCCACTTCTTCCCATACATCTTGGTTTAATCTAGGAGTCGAGGCATCATCGGCTCGGTAGTAGTTAAAATCGATGACTACCGAATCCTCGGATTGTCCTAAATATGCGTCAGAAGCCTTGATGAAGCGAAAGAGGATACCATTGTAAATGTCGACCCCGCAGAAGTTTTTAGGTTTCATGTCCCTTAGTTTTTTGACGTCTGATATAAAATCTGCAAATTTTGTTGCTGGAAATATTGCTGTTGACTCGTAAAAGAATAGGCCATTAATTCTTGGATCCCATGCACATGAAACGTCTTTTCTTACTTCTGGTGTGTATAAACAAGAACCTGATGTTTGAATTTTTCCTTGATGTCCAATAACTGGATATCCAGTGAAGATCAAGTTGTTCTTCAATCCATTGGCAATCAGTTTTTTGTACCCCACAAATGAAGATGCCAATGTGCATTTTCCGTCGTTATTTCTTGCATTATCGAATGCTTTTTCTGCAATAAAAAACAACAAACTAAGTTTTGTTCTCAATAAATTTGAGATTAGTTACTCGAAAACTTTTTCAGTGATTCATTATAAAAGCTATTTGAAGATTTCGTTCGGCTTGTAATGTATTGTGACCTAAAATAAAAAACTATTAAAAAGTAACTTTGACTCTTTTCTTAGCTTACCTAAAAATACCCAGAAAACATTTTTTCAAAAATGTAAGTTCTTGAACTAAAAACCTTCAAAAACTAACTTATTAAAAAGTTCAAACTTACAAAAAAAATTACTTCTAAGTAATTTACCAGATGCTCGCGTTGCTTTGGACACAAGGATAGCATTGGATTGGAATCCTAGAAAGTCAAAAACCCCATCACCCGATGTGTTTAAGGGAACCCTATTGTCGTATCTGTACACTGCTCTGTGTCTTGATGGGTACCATTGGATGTCACCAAACTCATATTTCCTGGCATGTTCCATGAATTCATTCCCAATCCCATCATCATTTGTGAAGTTGAATGTAATGCTGCGTTTGAATCCTCGTTCCAAGGAAAATGTCACCTGGAATGCAGACCAAAATATAAATACAAATCAAAGACAAGTCCATTCAACAAAATACTAGGTCTGTTGGCACACATTCTTTCAAATTCAATTTTCCTCAAACTCATTTTCAACTGTACATTCTTTTAATAAAATAAGTTTACACATAAACCTTAGATTTTTTCTTACTTTTTAACCACACAATAGTAGAATAATTATTTTTCGAAAAATCTATTCTCAAAAAATCTACACCATACAAGTCTCTCCTATAGACAGAAGCATCTTATATCATTGCACAATATAAGAACGTTCATTAAGATAGTTTCGTTTTGCTTAGAAATCACGATATCATTAAATGGACAAAAGGAAGTGTCAATTAATCACCTTAGAAATGACTCCAAGCATTCCCAAAGAGACTTTTGCAGCATTAAAAATTGGATTATGTGCCTGCAAATTGACAACTTTTGCATATCCTTCTGATTGATTTGCAGGAACGATCAATTTAAGCCCAATTACATGATCATGAACTGCTCCTCCCTTCCCCCACCACGAGCTGCCGTGTGAACCAGTGGATATCAGCCCAGCAACACTAACACCTTCCCAATACGGTGATGCCACGAGACTCAACCCTGCATTCTCCACCCTATCAATCACATCCCGGAGACCGACTCCAGCATCGGCCGTGACCGACAAATTGTCCATGTTGACGTCAATTGTCGAGTTGTACCTCTCAGTACTAATCAGGACAGCATTTTCTGTTGGGCATACCAATTTTGGGATAGTATGGGAAGATTTTGTGACAACTTTGACCTTTTGATTGTTCTTGTTTGCATTGGCTACTGCGAGCCGGAGTTGTTCTTCTGTCGTTGGATAAACGACGGTTGGAGCCTTGCAGTCTTTTCGATCTCCCCATATGCCATAGGCGTTGTAAAGAACGCAGCTGGTTTGGTTACACCGGACTGGGTTTTGTGGTGGCATGCCATGGTTGAGAGCTGCACCCCATATGATAAAAATTAGCCCTCTTAAGAGCCATCCTTGATTTGCCATCAATAAATCGTTTGTGTCCTAATCGCCTTTTTTTATAGAATCAGACGTGTTTGGCATGCATTGTTGAATAATAAACAAGATTCTTGCTTCCTTTTTTTTCTCCTTTCTACCTTATTAAAGATGCCATCTATATGAAAAGGGCAGTGCTTCAAAGGAAAGCCAAGAAAAGATCATGGGTTTTCTTGAATTAGATACTAAGAAAGGGCATTGCGTGTGTGAATGCCAGTTCGGAATTTAGGCTTCAAAACTGGATTTTTTGAACGAATGAAAAAACTAAAAATTTGTCCTGGTCATTATTGCAAAATTGCATTCATTTGAGGGAATAATCTCTTGGCATGATATACACTCATGATTCATTCAACTTGGATATATTTGGTACTCGATACTAATTAAAAATGAAACGCTCTTTTATATTGAAGAATTCAAGTCAAAGAAAGCAACTTTAAGCAATAAAGTATACTATTCAAATCTTCAAAAACAAACAAATTTTGCATTCATTTTCAATAAATTTAAGATTGACTGCATAAACATATAAAATGAAAATAAAAATGAAAAAGAAAAAGAGAAATTCACGCCCTGATAAATAATACTAATGGCTTAAAGTTGCTATAAATATGGTCCTCCTTTCAAACCTAGCTTCTCTCTCTATATTTTCATCTCATGAATATAAATTTTTGCTTTTGTTATTTGCCTAGAGTTTTTTAGTATGTTTAATAATAGCTTAACTAAAGCTACTTTTTAAAAGTGTGTAGACGCGTCTACTTTAGCTTCAATATAATTTATTATAGTGAAAGATAATGGAGTGCATGATCTATATAAAAATTATTGTGTATTATTATTTTATTATATATAGAGATAACGGATCTTAGGCTCATTATTTGTATTGGTGGAGAACATGGGGGAATCATGGGTAATTTAAGTATTATACATTTTCTCTCTACAATATTTTTTTATTTATCCTATAACGCCTAATCTTCTCGCTACAAATCTAGACCGCATTAGTCAAAACAAGGGTGGCGTTCTAAACAAATTTTGAGAGGAGTGGTAGACTTACATGGCTAGAGTCTAGACATGATATGTTGAATTATTTTTTTCCTTTTCACACACATAATTAAAAATTCTATAATGCTGCTTGGCCCATTGACAGAAAATTGAGTGACATGGTAGGTTAGCAACAATTGATTGGATGTTCGTTCTTTTTTTTTTTTTCAAACTAGAGCTGGACAAAACTCCCGAATCGAATCGGACCGAACCGAACCGAATCGAATCGAGCAGTTTTTCATAAGTTAAATACCCGAACGGGTATCTAAATCGAGAATCGAAGAGTTTGGTTCGGTTCTCGTTCTAGACCCAAAACCGAATAACCGAATTTAAATAATTTTTTTAATTTTTTAAATTGAATTAATTGATTTTTTTTTAACTTTTTAAATTAGCAAATTAACTAATTTAGTTATTAATGTTCTAACTCCCAATCCAAGTCCATGCATAGCTAACCCAACCCACCTCAATCTCTAAATTCAATTTTTTGGTCATATTATTAATTTCATTATTAGTCCAAGATCTAGGTCTTTTTAAATTTTTATCATTCTCTTTCCAATTTCACACTTTCATTTGGTAACCACTGATTTAATGACCCCAAATTATTTGATAAATTGAAAACCTACATTTACATGCCCAAATCGAAATCGTCGACTGTCGAGTCCGATTTCACCTCTCAATGCCCATCAAAGCAGCGACCTCCAACCACGACCACCGATCGTTGACCATTAGAAATCTGTTAAAAATTTTAATTATGGTACGGAACCGAACCGAACGAAACCGAACCCGAACAGTTCCATAATTATATTTGGACCCGACGATTCTATTTATTAAATACCCGAAAATTTTTGTTCGATTCGGTTCTTTTCAGAACCGAATCGGATCATGTCCAACCTTATTTCAAACTGTCAAATTATGTGTCGACATGTGTCCCCTTGTTTTTTAACCTATCATTAAACCTGTTTGTATAGCATAACTCATACAAAAATTAATGACCTATTTGTGTCCAATAAATACAACATGTTTGTAGGGAAGAGATAGAACTATCAAAGTCCACTTTCTACTAGATCTTTAAATTGAGTATTATCTTACAAAAATATAGTAAGAACATCATACTAAAAGTATTGAGGATATAAACAAAAGTAATTATTCACAAACACATAATATTGCTCTAATTTTAGTTTATTTTGGTTTTTGCTTTTAAACTCATAAAATTTTACAACAAAAAATGGAGGATGTTAGCCTCGGTTTCTGAACGGATGACATGACCAACATATCTCGACTCCATTCATGTTCACGTTGCCTTTCTCCTACATAATTGGAGAAATCAATAGGAACACGTGCATTCTCCAAGATGGAAAAAGTGATCGCATGCACTACCGACGGTCAAGACAGTCACTAGTCTAGAGGTATTTGGGTGTGAGACGTGCGAAAGATGTGAGCCACAATAGTATTAGAAAACTGGGGTATGGTAGAACAAAATGTGATAGCAATGTTACGATTGAGTATGTAAAATTGCATTACCAGCTAGGGCATACCCGTGTTTCGCGAGGCTTGAGACGAACCTCAAAATTTAGGCTCCTAAATTGTAGCAAACAATCAATTTATATCATTTATAAGAGTTTTATGGAACTAAATTTATTAAGTTAAAACTAACAATAAAGCAACAAATAAAATCAATATTCAAAATATTTATATTACAATCAAATAATAATGCGAAAATGTTCTAAACGATCACTTAAATACAACTTGTCTTGTGGTTCAAGAGGCAAAAATATCAATAATTTTGGATAGTCAAATTGTTCGACCATCCAATCTTTGTTGTGACAGTTGATCAGAGATAAGTTTTGATCAATTTCAACTTAGAAAAAGTTCTTTCTGCTGATGCAACTGTAACCAGTATGGTTAACAAAATCTTATAAACAACGCAAGCATTTGAGAAACAACTATTCATTTTCTTTAAGTAATGTAGTACATCAATTGCTCTTTTTGTTACTCTTAGTAAATAGCACTTCAAGATTGTCAACTCCAAACATAAGGAATCACCAATAATGTCTGAATATCAATTATGTTTCAAATATTGTTCAAGATTCTCACAAAATTTCAACAAACTATCAACATGCCTACTTCTTAACATGTCCAAATTAAACAAAAATCTAAAGGTCTCTTCATAATGTTTAAATTGTTCAAAACGAATTTGAAGTGAAAATCGAGCTCGATCAATTATAAAGAAAAAATAATCAACTCTAAAAGATTCTTAAGATGATTGTGTTACCTCTTCGTTGCCACTTTCATCAAACTGCTCTTTCCTTGAATGTTACATTTTTCTCAAAACACAACTATAATTCTCATTTCTCTTTCCATTTGTTTAGCTTCATTCATGGTACTAGCAAACCCGAATTCTATAATCTTCGAGAAACAAAATAAATGCTTGTAAAAGCTTGATGACTTCATCAATATCCATGTTTTCGGCTTGAAAAAAATTACTCACAGTTTTGATTGCACGCAACAACTTATACCAAATTACCATACCAAGCAAGAACGCAAAATTTTCAAGTTCATATATTGCTAAGGACGTGGCTCCAGTTTTTGTTTTAGGGTCTTCAACAATGATTGCCAAGTCAAATAAAGCATCTCTTATTTGTACAAATTGCTCTTTTATAGTTTTGACACTTTCCACGTGACTTTTCCAACGTATTTGGGACAATGGCTTGAGTGTCAGACCTTCAACTTTATCTTTAAAAAATTTCCATCGCTTGAGAGAAGAGAATAATGTGCAGATGTGTTGTATCATACCAAAAAAGGACATAACTTTAGAACAACAATTTTCCATATCACATAATACTAGATTAAGGGTATGACAACCACATCGAGTATAGAAAACTCTAGGACTTATTTCAAGTAACCTTCATTTTAACACTTCCATGTCTCCTGCTTATGTTAGCTCTATTGTCATACCATTGACGTTTATTATTTTCAATATCAAGCTCAAATTTGTTTAACACATTTTTAAGCTCGGCGAAAAGTTCAAGTCTTAATGTATAATCCACCTTTAAAAATTCAATCCAATATTTTTGTACTATCGGCAAGTCTATTGAATCGTCCATGCATCGTATTATTAGGGACATTTACTTCTCATGACTCGTAACTGGAGTATAATCAGGTATGATGAAAAAATATTTTGCATGTTTCACTTTTGCGACAGTTGCACTTTTTACCTCGCCCGCCAATGTTTGTATCAATTCATTTTGAATATTACGACCAAGTTTCTACACTTATTCAATACCCTAAATGATAATATTTTATTGTCATTTCGATAAATTTCTATCTAATTTATGTTATATTACGCCTTTGTAGGTAAAACTTTATGTTTGATGAAGAATTAGAGAAAAGAAGTGGTTGTTTTGGGCCACGAAAAGCCCAGAAAGACTCCAATTTTTGGAAAACCGTGTAAGGGAGTATAAATAGAAGAAATGAGAAAATTTTAAGGGTTCCACACATTGAGAAAACAAAGATATAACGAGAGATTAAGTGCACAATTCATGGGAGGAAAACATCAAGGAATTCAAGCTTTGAAACATTGATTGGAAGAATAAGAAGATCTTAGTGCAAGCTTTATTTCTTTTTCTACATCTATATTCAAAATCCGGTGATGTACTCACTATCAACTTTTAGTTTTTCTTTTTCATTTAGTATGAATAGCTAAACTTTATATTAGGGTGAACAATGTAATCGATTTGAAAACATTTATGTCTTTTATTCTAGATTCTTGATATTTTATCGTTCATGTGTTGATTTTACTATGAGTTTAATGTATTAAGTTACTTGATCACTAATTTGATGACTTTGTAAATCTTTTACGAATCAAGACGTGAGTTTGATATTTAGACCATATAGTAAAATTCGGTAATTTAGTATAACGTGTAGAGACATCTATCTGAATATTGCGATCATACATGAAT